GCCATGGTGACTCACAGTTGAGCAGGAATTTTTCATAACAGTTACTCAGACATTTTTATAACTGATAGTTATCTTTTGTATACAGGGTAATAATTCCGAAAATAAGAAAGATCAGCAGCTTGCAAAAGCCAAGGCCTGGGAAGCAGAGATGAAAAGAAAGTGCAAACCCATGAAGCCTGTGACACTTGGATGCCTGTGGCTTGAGGATGCAATGTTGAACCTAACACTTAAGCAGTTTGCTGCATGCTTGCTTGTTGATGGGCCAATAAATGTCGAAAGTTCATCATCTACTAGCAGTAGGAGTAGTGAGGTCCCTGTTGATACGTCAAACACCAGTGGAGCTCTCTATGTCCCAGATGAAGGTAATGTTCAATACGTGATAAACCCACAACTACATCTAACTAATTATTATTATTTCCTCCCCTCCTACTAGACTGCAAGCAAGTGCAAAGCATAAGCAAGTAGAAATTGGGCAAGAATCTTTCAGGCTTTCTGCTCCACCTTAACCCTGAGCATTCAAATCCCCAAGCAAAGAGCCTGCTTGCAGTCTATAAAGCCTGGTTCGGCACTTGCGACGCAAGCATAAGAAACGTACATGTAAACTGGGGCGACACAAGCATAAGAAGAGGAAATATTTCCTTTTTTATGCTTGCGTCGCAAGTGTGAACTGGGATAACGCAAGCATAAGTACAACAAAGCGCGCACGCGATCTGCCATATTGGATGATGCCACTGCGCTTGTGTATGTCACCTTGTGTTTATCACATGTGTGAACACTCTCATGCTTGCGTCGCAAGTGTGAACCAGGCTTTAGGCTCTGTTTGATAGCCTGTCAATCAGTACTTGGTTGATAGTTGTTACCAGTCTAGATATTGAAAATTACAAAATGTTCTTAACAAAACTATTTGTTGTTGCTCTTTTCCAGTGGGTAACTGTTAACAGTTTATTGTTTAATTTACAGCAATGCCTGATCTGATTAAGTTAGTTCATGGCAACACGGCAGGCCTTAACAAGATAATGGGCCAGTTCAGAAAGCAATGGACATCTAAATGCCTGGGCAGAGATGCCACTGATGAAGAAGTTGATGAAAAAAGTCCATTTTCCAAACGACAGCTAGAGAAGAAAATACAGAACATTGCTACTAAGGAAAGAAGAAGTGATCGGCTTCGCTGGTATGTCCACAATCATGTCTTGGCAACATTCGGTCTCGAGAATTTGCTGGTGGTAGAAGGATTTAACAGCTCAGAAGCGTCAACAGAGAATGCAAAGTTTCCTGCAGCTCTTCACATAAATAGTCCAAGCATCATTCAGTTTACCAGGCCAGTATCCCCAGCTCTTAACAAGAGAGCAAGTCCTGAACTAAAAAACAACACCGCAAAGATTCAACCAGCGAGTGCTTCTTGTAACTCAACATCACCCATGGAGGTAGATAACAGAGGCCCGTCATGTTACGTCAATCACTGTCAACCAGCTGACATTTCAGGCTGTTCTAATGGAGCAAGTTCAAACTTGTGTGTGGAAAGTGAAACCCAAAGCAAAAACATCACAACAATTTGCAATAACTCAGGCTTAATCACTGCCAAGATGACAGGCCTGAAGACCAAGACAAGTACAGCTCAAAATTCTTTGGAAAAGGTTATTGACATTGTGTGCATCGACTAATACCAGTTAACCAAAACTTGCATTCATATTGTAAAATAACACCAATTTTGTCGCTAAATAAATATGTCTGCTGTAATACTATAAGAATTTTTTGGGTTTCAGTTGGATTTAGGGAGCAAAATACTGTACAGCAGAACTGTTAGTCTTCAAACTGTTAACATTTCACATGAACGTGGATTATTTTAAATAAACAATATTAACTCTTTCAGTCCTAAGCTTCAGGTATTAATTTTCATTGTTGATGTACAGCTGTGCAATGTAATCCTGGTAAAAATAAACTTGTATCACTCTTGGGAATGAAAGGGTTAATAGCTAATATTTACTACGAGCTGTGAAAAGAAATTTATGAGTGATTACAATAGGTTAATTTTAATGCTCACAAAATGAGAACATTGGAAAACTTGATCTATTTTTGTAATTTGATAAAAAGAAATACTATAAACATAGTGAAGTCTTGCACAGATAGTCATTTCTGTTACAAAGCTAACTATACTTGATAATATCTTTTCCTCAATAGTTTTCTTCTGCAAATAAACATTCCAATACATCCAAGTCTGATGATTCATTTAATGTGTATTGAAAATAGGCGTGAAAATTAATCCTTACGGTAATTGTACTCGGCCCCATGTTCACACTTATTTTCAATCAGACTGCGAGTTTGCCAATAGTCAGCCACTTGGTTATGCTAGCAGGACTTATTTAGTGTAAGCGAGGAGACGGCCAGTGCTTGAACCAGAACTGACCAATCCAGAGAACAACACACTGCATTTTGGGTTGAAAATATTCAAACGCTAAGTAACAAAAAACACATTTTTCTCCGTACATTTTGACTTCTATTGTTAAGGTCAGAAGCAACAAGTGATAAATACAATATTCACGTCAGATCTGTATGGGCATTTACAATGGCGAGCCATTGTAAATCCCATACAGATCTGACATAACCTGCGATCAGGCGAATTTTTCCACGTTCTCATTTACTCCTCGCCTTTATGTGGTCGCGCTGAAAATTATTTTTAGCATGACATCTGTTAAGAGAATGTAAGGAGTGCGAAAAATTGGCCTGATCGCAGGTTAGATCTGACGCAAATATTGTATCAAGCTTAAGACTCTAATGCATCTATCGATTATAAAGTTGTTGTTTGGCTAAACAAATGATTTTAGGCGAGTAAATCGAAGGAAAAGTTTATGTATATCAGGACAAAATCTGTATCCGATTTACAGATATACATTAAACATTCATTTCTTTTGTATTTTCTTTATGACTTATTAATGTGTGTTGTAAGCTTATGATGGATTCGTACTTGCTATTTTAAAAGTTCTTAGACTAAAATTAATATATTTTTCATAGGTTGGATATCAAAAAGGACAACAATATATACACTAAACTTACATAGTGCTATTTTCTGATCAGATAATTATATACCGGTAATTATTTCTAATCACTTATTTTCTTTTTTTATTTACACTCATTACAAACAAAAGCAGAAAATTAAACATGATCATGAAACAAATTTCTCAAATGAAAAAGTACATAACTCTCAACCTAACAAAAGTACAATATTGTTGTAAATATTCACAGCATGCCACAGATTGCTTTATCATGGTACGCACTCAATAACTTAGAACTTGATTCCACCTAAAGAGTTCCAAATTCATCTTAGGCCTGTCCTGGCAACATAAATCAAATTATTATTGAAGTGTCTGTCATGCAATTGACGATGTACTTGAATTACTGTTTCATGACCCTCTTGTTTGAGTACTAGTGAGACTCAGACGGCAAACAGGACACGAATCATGCTGCAAGAAAAGCACAAAATAAACAGCGTTATTTTAGTATTTTGTTGGTGCCAGCACATTTTTAGCTTTACTGGGCAGTCCAGTTTCCAAACAAATTTTGAGACTTGCAACAACTACAAAGGACACTTTTTCAAGGAAACTCCACAGAAAAACTTTATGATTTGTGCCAATGAAACTGTGAGGAGTTATGTAGCATGACGTGACTGGATGGGATGCTAGTCTATCGCAGGTTGTACCTCGCAGCATGTTTGTTAAGTTTCCCCACAATAACTATTTGCTGGTACCCACCCAGTTATTCACTTTTCCAGATCTATAAGAGGACTCAGGCTCTGCAGGAGTACAACATATAGACCATTTGGCTATTGTGCCTCCTACAAGTGAAGTAACATTTTAAAGTCCATCCTCCGCTAATGGAGACCTCCCGTAGGTGGATACCTCTCGTAAGCGGACACTTAGTCACATTCCCAGCTACATAAGCGGACACTTTCTGTCCGTTTACGGGAGGTTCGACTGTATCAAATTACTGTACTACAGGGCCTGGTTGTTCAAAGGGCCCAGGTTTAAATGTGTGGTTGCAGAAATTATCCATACCCTGCCACAGAAGATGTTTTGGTTTGAGACCCCTCCCCCTCAGAATTTCCAGTGACCTTCGCTTCCTAGGGGTGGGTATATGGATATTTTATGGGACCACACAATGAAGGTAAATACATACTGGTCAATACAACGACACACAACACATTACATACTCACCATTTTAACCAAGGTTTTATACAGTCAAAATGGAATAAATGTCTACAGGGTAATTTCCTAACTTCTTCATCTAACGTAAACTTGTCTTGGCAAACTGCGCAATCTGTAAAAGCTTCTACACAGAAAGAAAACAAAATTCAACCATGTGATTAGTCTTCACTTATTAAATTATCAATGGTTACATGCATATACTTTATAATGCACTGTAATCTGATAGGATGGCTACGTGTTTTGTACGAGGTTAAACATAGCTGCCAACCTAACAAAATCCAAATCTGGGAGATCGCCAATTTTTCCTACAGTTGAATCCCGCTATCTTTAACTCGGTTATCTCGAACACCCCGCTATCTTGAACTCAAACCCATTCCCCTTGCCTTTGTTTTTCAGTCATTTACTATCGGCTATCTCAAACTGTTTTTCGTTCCGCTTGAGTGTTTCAACTGTGTTTATAAAGCATTTTGCCTTATAATATATTAATTTTGCATATTTGAGTACATGAAACACAGAGCATCGATTTTTTTACACCACATAAAGGTGAAGAGACGAGGCTGTTCATCTTGCGAAGTAGGTACATTGTAGGTAAAGCCGCACTTGGCTAAACAGGCCGACACTGCCGGAGCTTATCTCAGTTTCCGTAGCATGAAGCTGACTAGGAGTATTGCAACTCCCCCTGGATGGGATGGTACTTCATCGCAGGTTACCCCCAGCATTTTGTCACCGGTACCCATTTATGCTCTTGGGTGGAGAGAGGCACTGTGAGAGTTAAGTGTGTTGCCCAAGAGCACAACACAATGAGCCAGGCCAGGGTTCGAACCCAGACCACTCGATCCGGAGTCCAACGTTGCGCTAACCATTAGGCCAACGCATCTCTCTTCATCTTGCGAGGTACAGTGCAAAAATGGGGCTAGGGTTGAACTTTCAACTATTGGATCTCGAGTCTAACTCGTTAACCATTAGTCAGAACACCATGACAACTCCTTGCAATACAACCTAGTAAATGTTACAGAATGGCATCAACACTGTGTTCTTACCTACTAATTCTTGTGAGACTATTACTTTTGGAAGTGTGTCTATTTTCTCATTTTCTGCAGGGGGAGGTCCAGCTCCTTCCATTTGGTTTAAAAGCTGATAAGCAAGGACATGTCAAGATCAGTACATCATTATTCAAGCATGCTAAACCCTTCACATTCCCAGGCACAAAAATAATATTAAATGTGGTTATATGAAAATTTAAGCAAAGTTAATCTCGAGGCAATGTGGTCCGCGGTGCTCCCCATTTGCGTACGTGATCTGCGGGGGGATCTCAGGGGCTCATAGCATACCTCGTGGACTGGCAGTGCATTGCCGGCACTTTTAGCTGATCGTTGCGGATCATAGAACTGCTCTAGCGAATCTTTGCGGATTCTTGCTCCCAGCCCTCCCTCCCCTTTGGTTTGTGGGTTTTGGTAAGTATCGGGTTAGGTAAGTATGTCCACTGAATTCCTTTCAGTGTGACGGTGCCAGGTGGCAGTCGCTCGTAGGGGTGGTTCCCGCTTGCAGGGTTGCCATGGATACCTCCCTGCTCTGCCTGAATGGCTCAGGCCCCCTGTCAACCTTTAAGGCACCAGTTCCCAAGCTCATCTATTGGCGATGAGTTTAATTAATATTATATTTTCCATCTAATTTCAACATAGGGTTTTGCCAAAGAGCGAGCCATGCAAGCCATGCAAGCCATTCTGGTTAGCTTAAATAACACTCTGGTTAACCAATTAGAAGTTAGCTTGCAGTTAGCCTAAGTTATATTGGAGTTAGGGATTTCTGGCTTGCATGGCTTGCCTACTGGCTTGGATCTCTGGCTCGCACTTTGTACACACTCTCGACACACATATATATGTGACAGCAATATTACTGTTGTATGGACATCAACTAAATTTAAACATTAATCTTCATGGAAATTTTCCATGTTCATACAGATCTTTGTACTATACTTAGCTGTGACCATATTGCAATATTAAGGTTACTGTAAACCTTCGAGGGTGCCTTCCGGGAAATCTTTCCTATGCGCGTTGTTTTAGAAGAAACCCTAGAAAACTATATATCACTGTAAAGGTAATAGAATGAAGAATCCGATAAAAGCACTATTTTTGTCCGTTTTTGTTTTGTTTGGCGTGCGCAAGCCTTCGAACGCAAACTGACAGTGTCTGCTTAACTGAGTTACAAGCCTTCGCGTTACCACGGACATCAAAACAATCTGGACTATACAATGTATCATTCAGGAGATAATGGGCTAACAAAGTGTGTGAGGCTTTTTCAATACTCTTATTGGTTCCCGAAAAAATCTATTTTAAAGTTAGACAATGGATATGTTTTCGATGCGTGTCACGCGCTGGGATGCCACACGAAAAATATTTCAAATTTCGTGAAAGCCTCGCACACTTTGGTTCATTAATGTCTAACAAACATTTTGGCCAAATTTCATTAAAATCCAACAAATCTACATACCCTGTTAATTCATTTGAAGAGAGTGAACTCACACAAAAACAAATCCGGAGTTTTCGGGCTGAAAAGATTTTCGTAGTTTTCACACTTAATCAAAGCGGGTGTGATTGCGGTCATGCCGCCGACCAATAGAACACAACATAGGAATCCCCCAGAGAGCCTTGTGACAAGGCAGTCTATTGAAATTCGCGGGGAAGGCGACATTGCGACAGGAGAATATTGGGGAAAGCGAAGTCTGGAGCACAAAATTCATCGGCGAAAACCGAATCAGTGGAAAAGAAAACAACCGCAGCGGGATGCATGGGAGGAACAAAGGAAAAAGAAGGCTGGCGAAAGTGGCGACAAAACTGGAATTCATCCAAAGCAAGCGTTGTTTGCGGCTATAAATGCACGCGTGTATAAAGCTTTCCTTGATAAGAGCCCTTTCCTCTCTTTTCTCCATAAACGGCGTACTGAAGCGTAGATTTTGGTGTAATAAATTACAAGACACAAGTATAAACATAAGAATCAAAGCGACGTGAAATATGAGGCGCAGAGTGAGATCATCATTGCCGCGAAAAAACGTCACAGGGAGCTCTGGGTTGACACATTCTAATATTGCCTTATAACACTTTAGCAGATTTTTACTTTTATTTGAAAACATGTTTTTGTCGATAACTTGCACGTATTTCAAGTTTTTCAAATTATTCTAATTGGAAAATGCAGATAAAATAGTAGTCTTTAATTCGGCTTGAAAAACAAATTTTTCAAAAAATCGTCCCTTGATGGTTGACAGTAACCTTAAGACAGTTCAACAAACTGTAAACGAGAACTAAATGTCCATCAAATGCAACATCAGCAGTATTGCATTCATGTAATGTGACACAAGGTGTCCTTCATTAAAAATGCTTTGATTTTAACCAACTGAAGGCAACTTGCTGCCAGAAAAATTGAGCCTGAAGCACTGTGAGAGATCAAATTTGCAGTGAGACTACTTGCTTTACTTGTGGTTCCACTTGAGTTTTGACAATTTCATGACATCATTTCTAGGGTCTATAAGAGTGTAGACCATGGAAAAATGTGGTGAAATTGTTAAATGCAAATGCACCATACTGCAACTCTCTCACCTGTGTTATTATAGTATCTAATCCCTCTGTACCCAGACGTAATCAGCAGGGTTCCCATGGAGACGCAGCAAATTACTGTATTATAGGATAAAAGGAAAAGAGAATACTTCAGTTGGTGACAATGTTGACGGGGGCAGATCCAGGAATTTTGAAAGGGGTGGGGGGGGGGGGGTGGCTGTTAGCACATGTTATTATATAATTGAAGGGCGTGGTGGAAAAAGGGCATTATGACAATATAATTCTATTGTCATAATTTTTTCCACCTTGCCCTTCAATTATAATAATTTTACACCTTCCCTGTGCTTGTATTTATTTCCTATTTGAATGTGTTGGGGGGGGGAGGGGGGAGAAGGATTGGGTAGCCCCTGGATCCGCCCTGGTTGAGTCATGAAGTAGCATCTATAGACAAGTCATTGGACAATGCATACAAAAGAGAAATGTATTGCAAATTAAATAAGGAAGAAATACTTACAAAGGAAACGCAATGTTTCCTGAAGGCGCAGCACTAGCACCATCCTCACTTGTGCCACCACCTGGAATACATGTCATTACAAACATTAATAATTTAAATTTATTATTGCATTGTGTTGGTCGATGTAAAAGTTACTTAACCCATTGACTACTGGGCTTTTTCCAAAAAACGTCAATCTAACATCCCAGATGCCTATTTCTGGCCATTATCTCAACAGTTTAATGTCAAACTGTCTAAAACGTAGTTTAAAACATGGCAACTAACATCCCCTTCTACGTAGAAGCAACGAATTCAATATTTTCTTCGGGCATGCGCAGAAATCAAAATTTCGACATAGTTTTTTGGGTTTGAAAAACCCACCTGACTTTAGGCTTTTCTTTTCCTTTATTTTTTTTGCCGTTCTTGCTCTCCTTTTCTCTCATTTTATTTTGTGCTTTTGTTAGGCCTTTCAGTCGTCTTTGTTCACGTTGAAAAAGTTTTAGCCTAAACGTTGGGAAAAGGGAATTTTTTTGACAAAGAATGCCAATGGTAGTGAAGGTCGCGTTTTTTGGTGATTTTGGAGGAAAAAATCCAAGTTGTTTTGTGTGTATCTCTGGTCCAATTTAATGTTTCGTGCTCGTTTAGGCATGCTTTGTTAGACATTTTCCAACTCTATCCGTTGATTATCAAAGACATCCTCTGGCGTGAACAGTGATGATGTCACAAGTGGTACAAGTCTGTGGTCTCTTCTTGGCCGTTTATGGCCGCTTTAGTAGTCAATGTGTTAACTGAACAAAAGAAATATGAATGATGACAATACCTGAGGGTCCTAAGCCTCCAAAAAGGTTTTGAAGAATTCTGTGAAACAAGCAGAAAATAAAATTTTAATATATGTGACTTAGAGGCATTGACGTGTGGGGAACCAGGAAGGCAGGCCTCATTTGTTAATAATCAGGGAAAAAGCCATTTAGCTACAAATTGGCAGTGAATGAAAGGTTGAGCTCTTTCTTCCAGAATTATTCCAAACAAGCAGAAAAAGAATATACTGTTCAAAACATTTTTTATTAATGTTATTCTATCACAAAATAGTCTGTTTCCCAAGAAAATAATAAGAATCACAAAAATATAGTTTTTAGGTGAAATTATTACAAGCAGTAGCACGCTTATTACACTGTTTACGGAACTCCGACCCTGCAAAATTCAAACAGTTTTATTTATTTTAACCCATATTTTGTTCACAATGACGCTTATACTGTAGATTTATTAGTCACATGTTTGTATAGTCATTTGAGTAAGCTTTGAGAAATTAGGTAAGGGTTATCCTTTCCTGCAGGAAATCAGTGAAGATCACTACAACTCGGATTTTCAGCACCAAGTAATCCTAGAAATTTTTAGACACAAAATCCCATCTGATAATAAGTACCCCTCCCCCCTGAAAATAAGCCCACAAAAAGTATTTGAAAAAAGGTAAAGCTGCATTCGGGCCAAACTGGCCTACACTGCCGGGGCTTATCCGGTTTCCGTAGCATGAAGCTACAAATAATGTATCTAGGAGTATTGCTACTCCCCCTGGATGGGATGCTAGTCCATCGCAGGTTACCCCCCAGCATTTTGTCGCTGGTACCCATTTATACTCCTGAGTAGAGAGAGGCAATGCAATCTGAGTAAAGTGTCTTGCCCAAGAACACAACACAATGACCCCGGCCAGGGATTGAGGGCTTGAACCTGGAGTCCAACGAGCTAACCATTTTAGGCCACCGCGTCTGATCCCACTGGGGCTTATATTTGGAAATTTACAGTAATTCACAAATGACGTCAATCATGACAACTTACAC